AGTCTAATGCTGTACAGGCTGTGCTGCACTTCTAATAAAACTGAAGACGCACATGAAGCCCCGAGTTGGTGACAGACTGCTCTGTGCTGCCCCCTGCTGGTTAAACACTCGCCTGTCTCTCAGATCAGTGAACTGATAAATGGATTAATAGATTATTAAAGGTGTTTCCACTCATCTATTTTCATGTTCTTCCACAACGATGAGAACAAATGAAATACTCTGAAATAATAAAATCACCCGTTTGTATGTTATCAGTAGATAAAAGACGACATCAGGAATGACTCAAAGTTATTCTAAAGGTCATTTATGACTCCAAATTGACAACCAGCTTCATTTAAACAGGCTGAACAGACGCAGGTGTGAACGCGCCCTGAATCCCACAGAACCAGCAGATGTGCTTTAAGACCACAACATTTATTATTTTTGGTACATTTACAGGCAGAAATATTCTATTTACTGAGCTGTTTACATGACTTTAGTCTGGCAGCTTCAGGCCTCCGTACAGGTGAGGCTCAGTCACTTCAGTGCTCTGGGGCATCTTCATCACTTACAAACCACAGTCTGCCTCACAGCAGATTTTGGACTTTGAGGCACTTTCAGAAACAAAACCGTGACATTTCTTTGGTAACATCGTGAAAGCAGCTGCACACAATATCAACTCACAAACAGCTTTTTACACAGGATGCAGTTCCTGCAGTGAAAGTTCCACTACAACAGCGTTTAAACACTCTGGGAGCCGATGTTGGTGTTAGTTTGCTGCACTGGGGCTGATGGTTGGTCTGGTCGTCCTCGTCTTTTCTTTGGTGGTATGTGAGGTCTGATCTTCGCCGTCATGCAGAGACACGATCAAACGGCGGCGTAAAGCGTTTGGGTTCCTGTGAGCAGGTGAAGGTTTGGCGTGATGCTCAGTAGCGTCCATGCTTCTTCTTGAAGAGCTTGTTAAAGGCGTTTCTCCTGCGGCTGCCGGACGACTCGCTATCCTCGCCGGCGTCTTCCTCCGTGCCGCCCTTTCTGGTGGCAACCTGGAGCCCCGCCCCCCGGGCGCTACCTGACGAGCTGGAAGAGGTGGACGACGAGAAGACGGTGGTTCCGTCTGTAGCGTCCGATGTGATGCAGAGGGAGCGAGTGGAGCAGGCGGAGGCGAGGACGGAAGCAGAGATGCCCCTCAGCTCCCCGAGGCTGGAGCTCTTCTCCAGACCTCCTCCTCCACCTCCCACACCCAGCCTGGAGCCCGGGTCCTGCAGTGGGTGGAGCCTGGACGTCAGGAGGAAGGACTTTGAGCTGTGCTGACCTCGGGGGTCGCTGTGAGACTGCGGGAGGGCGGAGTCAGAGTCTGAGCGGTTCATGATGTCCCTAAAAGAGAAAATCAGAAACGATGGTTTGCGTGAGCGTCACGCCTCGGCCCGACTGCTGCGACTTCACCGGGACGCTGCTGACAGAGCATCTCGGTGAAGCTGCAGATGATTGGTCGACTGCTCGAGCTTCTTAGCCACCATTTTTAAAAATCAGAATCCACCTCTGAGCTGCAGTTTGGCAGCCATGGCTGGAATAACTGAGTACACAGACCGCTGCAGTCATGGTCGACACATCGGTGACCGCCTGCTGCGTGCTGCCAACACGACGCCGTAAACGTGCGCTCGTGTCTGAATCGCTGCAGTCTGATTAGAAACATGGACGATGAACAGAAGAAACCGCCTCCTGCTACGTGTTGATATGTGATGACTGGTTCTCGGACTGGTGGAAACGTGGCGCCGACACAGAAACGACTGACTCGTGCATTTATTACTGCAGGAAAATAAAGAGTTCGTAAAGCAGAAGCTTTGAATGAGGATGTTTTCTGTTAAGTAGAAGGTAAAGTTAGAGGGAAACAACAAACCACAGAGACCCTGAAAGACATAAATGTTAATAACAGAGTAGGAAAGTCTGCAGGAAACAGTGAAACATTGGGCCTCATTCATCAAGAGCTCTTTAAGCAAAGTGAGCCGCACCCCTGATCTCTTCTTACCTAAACTCTCAACCTGAACTGTTGAGGTTTGGAAGGAAACAAATTCAGAGAAAGTCCTCAAAACTCTTGGATACTAACTCTAAGAACTAAAGATCGCTCGTAGAAGATCCTAAAATCTAAATTCAAAACATTTAAGAGTCTTCATCCATTTATCTGAGGTTGGGCCACGAAGGCAGCAACGTTTTCCCGGGATCGTTGGGAATAAGAAACCAAACAGACATCCTGATGAATCAATCCAAACATCTAAAGGAGCAGTGGCTCCACTCAACATGTTAAAGCTTCTAAACATCTTCAACAAAAGGCGCACATACACCAGTCGAGACCACCAACTGGTGCACTGCTTCCTGGAGTAATCTCACAGCACCTTTGAGGCCAGTGTTTGAAGCAACTATGAATAAAGGGTAATAAATAAATAATAAAGGGTTCTGTTGAAGGATTATATCCATGTTTGCATCAAGAGCCTAGTGACCAGCCTTCAGCTGCAGAGGGCAGAAACACAGATCAACCAGTAAGTTCTCTCGTTGCCATCGTCCAGTTCCCACAAACCTGATGGGACTAAACAATCCAAAGCTCCACCTCACCTCCACCTTCCAATCTGTCGTCATTGCTCGGGGCAACAACACTCCTCCAACCCAGACGACTATTCCACCATATGAAAAAGAAAAAACAAAAGACAACTTAAAATCTGGAGACACTTAATCATAACTTGGTGTCTCAAACAGAAACGCAGTTCTAAAGATGACCTACGCTTTGAGCTCCAGTGAATAAACCTCACAGGGCTGAATACAGGCAACCCCAGGTGTGGACACTCTGGTCACACCAGGTGAGCTCGCAAGTCTTCAGCAACTCCACAAACACATCGCCTGGATGGCCTAACAACCTTTCCAGGGTTCAACAACAACAACGTCGATCCTGAGCACTGCTATACTTTAAATTCTGAAAGAAAGCGCTCCAGCTGAGGACCACACTCTGACGAAGCCGACTGAACCACATCTGGTCCAGCAGCTGCTTTTGACCAGAAATACAGACAAAGCTCTGGTCACATGTCGACTTCACAGCTTTGAACACCAGCTGAGGTACATCTGAACACCTTCACCGAGTCCCCTAAACAGAAGCTGTACTTGCAGACACCTGCAACACGGCCAGAAGAACCACGAAGAGAAGCTTCGCTGTTCTACCGCCAGGACGGCGTCCACGTGGTTCCTCCTGAAACTCTAATAAACTTTGACAACCGTCCCTTCTTCTATCAGCTGCTCCCTTTAGGCGTCTCCACAGATCACCTGCAGGCCTCTGCACGTCCTTCACTTTTGACCACCTGAGAATTCAAACTAAAACTTGAACCGACGAGTCTCATAAATTATCTCAAACCGAGCGAGGCCGCTGATTCGACTGCTTCGGTCTCGTTAGTGCATCAGGTTTGGAAAACAGTCATGCAGAGAAAAATACCGGAAGCTGCTGCAGCGACAGCGCTGCGCTTGACTCGTCGCAGCGCTCCCTCCAGGCGGGAGGCTGGACGTCGCCTCTGCAGAGTGGAAATGGGAAGAACGGAGGAACGGAGCAGAAACGTGGGCGGTGCCCTCAGCGCATGAAGAAGAGTCAGAAGGTGGAGGAGAGCAGGAGAAGGTGGGGGGGTGAGAAGAGGAGGTGGGGCTGAGGGAGGGGTGAGACAGGGCGGAGGAGAGAGAGGGGGGAGGCACAGGGGGGAACTCCAGGTGGCCAATGGAGCGGCTGCGATTCTGCCGGCCGCTGGGAGGGCGGCACGATGTGAACGGGTCACGTCCTTCCTGTGGAACCAAGCTCCGCCCTTCAACCAACCTCTGAGAGCTGAAAGTGTTCAGGGCGGGGTCTCCGATCCTCTGTCGCAGGGGCATCACGCTCTGAGCTGCAGGACCAAGAGAGTAGAGTTACAAATGAGGCTTTTATTTTGGAAAGCTCAAATAAACTCAGCTCATAAATAGAAGAAAGCAGTTTAAACTAAAAAGGGTCACAAAGAAAAATGTGCTTGTATTTTGAAATTTAGCAGCCAAACCTTCAAAATAAAATCCTGTGTTTTCTTCAGAACATTTTTCATGTTTCTTCTTTGAGCTCGTCTGTCGTTCAACCTGAGCTCGTTTTATTTTTCTACAAGCGATTTTTGTTTGTTTTTCAAGCTTTTGCTGCATGAACTGACGTCACAGTCGAGCCGAGTTACAAAACATGTTCAGCTGCTATTAAAGTGGATGTTAGTGAAAGGAAGAGGCAGAAGCAGGTTATTAAAATGAAGCGAGGGCTCCGGGACTTCAGAGAAAAAGCAGAAGAACAAACTGAAGTTTGAATGTCCAACCACACGGGAGGAAGAAGAGGAGGAGGAAGAAGAGGAACACTCGAAGAGGCGTTCACAGGGACACTGACCCGGTTTAATATTTTGACACAGTAACTAAAAATCATTAGTGCCAAACGTGATAAACTCACTGATTTTAAAAGAATTTAAAAAATATTCAGATTCAAATCTGAATATTAATGTTACCCATTTAGTAAGGCGTCATCTTTGTGTTACTATTCTGAGCAAACATAAAAAAAAAATTGTAGGTGCAAGTGTTGCATTTTGAGGAAAAATTTATTTTGAGCGAAGAAAAGCTAAATTTGAGTGCCCGTGCGCGCTCAACTCTTTCTGTACACCGTTATATTTGGACACACGTCAGCCTGATAATCTAGAGAAGGTAATTTCTGGTCAAGGCTATAAAATATTCAAAGTTTGTATCCATTAAATCATCATGTTTAAACACAAACTTGATGCTCTTTTAGATATTTTAGTGTATCCATGTTCAGCGAGGTCTTACAGCCCAGGAAAAGGTAACTGCTCAATTTGACAGTTTTTCCACTTAAAAAAAATACAATTCTAAAAATTCAAAAGGTGATAAAATAAACCACAAAAAGGTGTGATTCAAAAATACAGATAAAAATGAGCTTCAAAAAAAAAAAAAAACTTTCCCAAATCTGACAAAATCAGTAGTCAAACGTTCACTTATCAGAATAAAAGTCTGACTTCAATCATGGTTAATATGAATATTTATTGTGATTTGGTATTAATCTTTTTTTTTTTTTAAATTTACTTTATCTTTAATACCTGAAACAGGTAACTACATAAAGCTGGCACAGTTACATTTGTACCTGTAGTTACATTAGCTACAATCATACCCCTATAGTTACATTGGTGCCTATAGTTACATTGTAACATTAGTTTCAGGTGGAACAGCCAGCAGCTCCCGTGTGTTACGATCAAACTGTTTAATATTCTGACATTTCCATCAAGGACTTTGAATCTAACTTCCTTGATTAAAGGAAAACTTTCTATAGTGAAACGCACTTCAAAGAAAAAGAATCTGTGTTCATGTGAACGTCTCTGCACGACTGATCAATGCCTCTGTGTCTGACTGAAAACGATTATTCAGACTTTGCAGGAATGAAGAAAAATTATTCAGAATTTTTCCTCTGATCAGGTTCCTTTGAAACTTTAAAGGATCTTAAATGTGTTTTAAGTGCTGATTGGGTGGGTTTGTACAGAGGTATGAACCAATCAGAAGAGAGGAAGGCTAAGGAAGGGGTGAGGCCAACCGGATTGTTTCCACGGTGACTGGGTGTCGGCGATGCCACTCAGGGGCCAGAGGTCGCTGACTCGCCGGTCCATCTGCCACGCTGCGTCTGGAAGGAGCCAATCAAGAGACGGCAAGAAAATAAGACCAATCAGAGGAGGCGGTGGAGACAGAGAGGGGACGACAGGTGAGCTGAGAGAAGGTAAGTAATGATTAACTCTGAAGATTAGGGTTTGTGTTTTTGTTGCATCATGTGACTCTGAAGAAGAAGAAGAGTTGAAGGAAAGTTCCACTGTTCTTAATTCAGGACTTCACCTTAAGATTTTATTCTAACGAAATGATCAGAGAGCAAAAGTGTACGAATCAGAACATCCAAATCTTTGTTTGTGAGTGTAGAGATCAGCTGATCTGCAAAAGGCAGCAGGTTAAGAGCCATCAAAGCGATCCTGAGTTAGCTTAGTTAAGCTAACTCAGGAGTTAGCTTAACTAAGCTAACTCAGGATCACAGCCGGCTTTCCAGCTGCTAGTTAAACTGACTCAGGGTTACTGTGATGACGCCACAGAGCAGACTTACACTGCAGCGTCCCCGGAGAAAGGATGTCCTCGTCCATGTCATCGAGGTCATCAGAAAGGATAAGGTGCTGAGGGGTCGGAGGTCGCAGCCCGAGGAAGGACGGGTCCAGGTTGAGGGCGGTGGCTAGCGCACCGAGGCCTGGATTGGTGACCAAACAGAAGCCCGTCAGAGACTCGATCTGCTGCCAGCGGTGCAGCTTCTCCCGCAGCGCCGCTGTCACCTCAGCCAGGGCTTGTCTGAGGAGGAAGAGGAGCAAGATAAGCTACCTGTGCAGGTAACACAGGTGCACGTGTAACGGGACGTATCAGCAAATATATTCCCACAGAGTGAGCACAGAGGAAAGAAACAGGAATCTTTATAAAGAAAGAATAGTTCAGGGACTCCACAGTCACCTGTCCATCAAGCAGGCCACGCCCCTCCAAATGCCAATTCTAAGCCTTAATTTAACTTAAAACAGGTTATTTAGACAAATAATCTACAGAGACCAAACAGTTTGTGTATCAGGCTGCAAACATGTTTGTTTCTGCTGTAAAGTTTAACATGGGAGCACAGACTCACTGCTGCCTCCGCTGGACGTCAGAGGAACTGCAGGCTTTGCGCTTACTCACTTGGCGGAGAGGATCTTGTGATCGACGTCATCCAGCGAGGAGCTGTGAGCCACGTGAAACGTGCCGAACAGAGAACTCCTCTTCTTCTTGATCTTCTCTGCCTGAAACACCAGCCTCATCGTCATCATCAATGTTAGCGTGTGTTTTTATTCACCGTAATGGTAAACCAGTAACAGAATATATCGATTCTTTGCAGTTTACTGTGCTGCTCCTACAAATCTATAAATCTTAGCTTCATCATGTGTGCTTTAGCTTGTTTGTCTCACAGTCAGGATGACAATGAAATGAGGATCCCGATATAGTTCCTGTATCATGTGTGAGGTGCATTCAAGGCCATGCAACCATATGTTGATCAAGGATTCCCACCACATTTAGACGCTCCCTGGAAGTCCCGCTCTGACCTCTTCCAGAGTCTCAACAGTGACCCTCAGCTTGAATATTTGACATCAACTCTTTATCAGTCAGGACTTCCACAGTAGTCACCTCAGCTCCCGTTTAAGAAAGAAAGCTAAATGCATGTTGTAAACTGTTGGCTCAATCCCGGATAAGCCCCCAACTATTTTTAACAAATGACTAATTAACTATAACTAATTATTTTCCAGGAAGTCTTTGAGGATAATGAAGGGTTTTGCTGCAGGAAACACACTGTCAAACCAGACTAAAGAGCCTGGATGACTTCCGCTTTCAGCTCATAGTGCGTCTAAACCAAACATGATACAAAATTTTGGTTCGTATTACACTCGTAAATATCCACTTTCAGACTTATTAAAGTCCTGTGTTTCTGCTCAGGCCCTGTTTCTGTATAAAACGAAATTTGGACCAGTCAGCTCCAGCTTTTCTTGAAAGGCCTCAGTGGGCTTGACCGTTTCCCTCATGCATCAGGATGTCCCTGCCTCTCCCTGACTGATGAACTCACCATGAACGCCCCAGAGGACACCAACAGGTTTGTCAGGTTTGGACACTTTCTGACTAAGAGTTTGATGTTTGCAGGACACCAGAGCAGGTCTTCCAGACAGATCTGAAAGTAGAAGCAGCTCCAGAGGTCCTGGAGACGACCTTGAAGGGGCTCAGGGACGGTTTTTGCTTTTTGGCCGTTTTCCACAGCAGGAAGTGTCCCTGACAGACGTCCATCAGAGAAACGTTAAATTTAAGCCAACACTTCACTCACCCCCTCTCTGGCCTGTAGCAGCTGCCGCTCAGCGCTCTGTTTCTTGATGTTGTAATACTGAACTTCGATTTCGTGCGTCAGCTGCAGCCACTTCTGCAGCGCCTCCGGCGGTGTCCAGC